AAAAAAAAAAGAAATCATCTTATCTGGGAAGCAGCAGAGGATAGTGGTGGAAGTGTCAAAATGTCATTTTCAATCCCAGTTCTTCTTAGTAACTGTGTGTGATCTTGGACAAATTATTTAACCTGTCTTTGCTTCAGTTTCCTCATCTGTACAATAGATAATAATACTTATCTCAAAGAATTATTGTGAGGATAAGCAATAATTGTAAAGTACTTAGCAGAGTACCTTATATAGAAAAGACTACATGTGGGCACCTGGGTGGCTCAGTTGGTTAAGCGACTGCCTTCGGCTCAGGTCATGATCCCCGAGTCCCGCGATCGAGTCCCACATCGGGCTTCCTGCTCCGTGGGGAGTCTGCTTCTCCCTCTGACCCTACCCCCTCTTGTGCTCTCTCTCACTCTCTCTCTCAAATAAATAAATAAAATCTTAAAAAAAAAAAAAGAAAAGACTACATGTGATTTCTTGCATTGACCACTTTCCCTTTGACAAGGGGTGCTTCGTAGAATTCAAGTGCTAACAGGGGTAAAAATTGATCACCTAATAGGTTTTCTCACCTGAGAAAAGACAGTTGTCTGTTATTATATTCAAATCTGTATTTTATTATTCACAATGGCCAAAAAAGGGAAACAATCCAAATATCCATCATCAAGTGAATGGATAAGCACCTGTGGTATGACCCAAACTATGGAACACTACTCAGCAGCGAAAAGAAATAAAATACTGATACATGCATCAGCTTGTACAAATCTCAAAATAATGATGCCAGGTGAAGGAAATCAAACATAAAGAGTATACACTAGGGGCACCTGGGTGGCTCAGTCATTAAGCGTCTGCCTTCGGCTCAGGTCATGATCCCAGGGTCCTGGGATCGAACCCCGCATCGGGCTCCCTGCTCAGCAGGAAGCCTGCTTCTCCCTCTCCCATTCCCCCTGCTTGTGTTCCCTCTCTTGCTGTGTCTCTCTCTGTCAAATACATAAAAAAAAAAAAAAGAGTATACACTATATGAGTCCTTTTATACAACATTCTAGAAAAGGCAAAACTATAATGACCAAAAAACAGATGAACTGTTGTCTGGGGCCAGGTGGGGGAGGAAGGGATCAAGTTGAAGGGGCACAAGAGCACTTTAGAATGTGTCCTCTATCTTGACTGTGGTGGCGGCTCCATTATTGTATACACCTGCCAACGTGCATCAACCCATACACTTGAACTAGGTGTTTTCTTGGTATGTAAATAATACCTTAATTGAAAAGATTCTACAACTACCATTGATACCACCCAAGCAACATCTCCTAAATGTGCAACCTGTTATCTCCCTATGAGATATTACACTGAGAATATATTAAAGTTTGAGATACTAGCGGAATACACAGGAACCAAGCAGGTCATTAAAATGTGGCACTAGATTTAGGGATTTTGTTATAGAGTTAGCAATCATTTCCCTCTCTTTCACTTCTTCTTTTCTCATTCCTTCCTTTTTACTTCTTTCTCTCCTTCCTTACTCAAATACATGTTGAGCACATTCTATCTTCAGCCAATACCCTAGGCACTTAAAAATTATTTAGAAAGAAAACAATGTAAAGCTTTTACCACAGAAGGGGGCAAAGAGCAGAACCTTGGTCAAAGTTTTAGGGCTGAGAGGAGACAGAATGGACAGAAAAGGAATGGCAAGAGATGTTGGAAGGGAAGGTGGAAAAGCTCACAGGTTCTGAAAGAAAGTTTTCTGAATGCTCCCTTCCAAATTTGAAATCTCACTGAGGAAGGAGGAAAAGGAAACTAGTCTCTGTGGCCAAGCATAAGAGGCATTCTTTGAAAAAAATAGTATAGTCCTGGAAATAGAAGGTTCTAGAGGAATTGCCTAGTCCAATTTTCTCATTTTGCAGGAATTTGAACACAATCTCTCAATTTCTCCTGTGGGCTGGATTAATAGGCATGCAAAAAGTATACAGTCCCGATACACGATGCTTGCCTGAGGAACTAACATAAGGTATTTCTACTAGGTGGAAACTCGCTGCTTTTTATCATATGAAATGATAAGCATGCACATTTTACTAAAAACAGTGATTCCATGGAAACTTTCTACCTGGTGATTTAAAAGAATTTGACTTAAATCTACCTTACGGAAGGCAACAGATGCTGGAAAGAAATCTGTCTGAAAGGGGTTTTCCCCCAACACTCAAAACTTTCCAGGGAGGAAGGAAGGGGGGGTCGTTTCTTTATACAAGGACCCCGGGGACAACATTCTAGCTTTCCTGCCTTTCCTGACCTGAAGTCTATTCTGGAGTTCGTTTTAGCGTCGAACGTCCCAGCACCGAGAACCTTGGCTGTCCACCATTTTCTCACACGGCACACCTTCACGAGCGGTATCTGTCTCGGTTTCTGTGCAATGAGAATAGAAATCGTCCTGCATCTCCTTTACAGATTTAGGGTTGCCTGAATAACCTTTGTGAAATAAGCACAGGCCACAGGTGTTTCTCTTGGGAGGTAGCAGCCAAAATGACGCTTAATTGTGCTTCTAATCTGCCTACAAACTTCCCGACCATCTTCGAGAGCAGCTGGGGCTTCCGCACACTCTGCTACCGCCCTGGCATGTACTGAGCACACCGTTTGCAGAAAACAAAGACAGGTCAGCTTAAGCCCATGAGGACCTCAAAATCGGGGCAGAGGCGATTCTGATCCATTTAAGGTTTATAGAGGATACCTGGAGATGGGCGGAGTGTGTTAGAGAAACGTTTAAGATGTCTTCCTGGAGAACTGGGAGTAGGTTTTCAAACCACCAGCCCAGCTCTTCAGCACTGCCTTCCCTCTGATTTGGCATGAGAAGGAATCACAGATAAAATGTATTCGCCACCCCCTCCGCACAGCACACACATCCCAGCCTGCACTCTGGCAAGCGTTTCCAGATTCCTCCAGCTTACCATGTTTAGGAGAACATTAAAAACAGCACCGTGGTTCTTAATAACTTTCTGCGTAGAGACTCTATGGCCTCTCTCAGATACCCAACTGCAGACCCAGGCTCTGTCCATCTCTCCAACAAGCCAGGCCATCTCCTGATTCAAATTTAGTTTTTGCTGTTGTTTCTTTCTTTCTTTTCCAACTCTCGATTCTGAACAGCGGCAAGACAGCCAGACAAGGTAAGAGCACAGTTTCCTCCAAAGACCAATGTTTAATGTTTTCACATGAAAGGGGCAAGGAGGCAAAAAAAAAAAAAAAAAAATCCTCCTGCCACTTTCTCTCCCTGACCAAATGGAATGTGACCGTTTCCATGTGATGCACTCATGGCCGCAGAGAATGTGGCCTTCAAATATAGACCTGCTCAAAGGGCAAGGATGGATCCATGTTGACCACAGCCTTTGGCATACCTGGGGTGAGCCAGAGCTATCAAATGGCGGCACCACTCCTGAGTGACATTTAATTTCTGAGTGGCATTTCTCTGGCGAGGCCTCCACTCCAGTCCCGGGGCTCAACAAAGAAAGCTAGACACGTGGCTGCAAGAAGCCGTGGCTCTGGTGAAAAGAGGTGCGTGAACGTTCGGTTGATCCCACCTGCAATGTTTCTGACTCCCGAGGAAAGCCGAGCTAGGATTCCAGTAAGTTCATAAGTCAACATTAATTTTCAAATTCTTGACCCTCTGCCCTCACAGTCCCTGCTTCACCAGATGAAAGAAAACACATTTAAGCAGAAATTGGGGAGGTGGGGGCGGGGAAGAGCATTACAGGAAAAACAAGAAAAAACACTGAAAAATCTTTTCATCAGTCACCTTTCTGTTTTGCCCCCCCCGCGCCCCTCCCCCTCCCCCTGGGCCCTTCAAGCAGTGACTCTGGCCGCCAGCTCCTTACCTCTGAGCAGCTACGGTCGCGGCAGCATCTAGAGCGAAATGTCTCATCACGTTCTCCTCCAAATACTTCTGCTCCCACTTAGTCATATCGGCTTCCAGGGCCAGGATCCTCTCCTCCTTCTCACGGAGGAGCTCCATCAACGCTGTGGCATTGTATTCAGAAACGTTGGTGGGCTGAGAGTTGCCCTGGCGCTGGTTGGGGAGATGAGGGAGACCCCTCAGGTTAGTGCAAGAAGCGTGGTGGCCGAGTCCCCTTCGAAGAGCCCCCCATTCTTGGAGAGGATTACTGCCCCAGCCACTTCAGTTTGGATTCTGATTCAGAAGCAAAGGAAATTCAGATTTCCTCCTGAGGCCCGGGACTCTCAACTTTGGGCTTGAATAGGAGACTCCTTTGATCAGGAAAGAAGCTTGTCATATCCAATGGTCATGCTGCTCAGAAAGCAGATCGGTGGCTGAAAAAAAAATCGCTATCCCTGCCTGCCAGCATGGTACACAACAGAAAGGGACATTAAAAATCTAGGATTTGGGCCCTACCTTGCCCCTAACTTGTTGTGTAGCCTTAAGTGAGTCATGCAACCTTTTCTGAGTCTTGATTTTCTCCCATCTAAAAATGAGGAGGGGTACGGGGTGCCTGGGTGGCTCTGTCGGTTAAGTGGCTACCTTCGGATCAGGTCATGATCCCAGGGTCCTGGGATCGAGCCCCACGTCAGGCTCCCTGCTCAGTGGGAGTCTGCTTCTCCCTCTCCCTCTGCCTGCTGCTCCCCCTGCTTGTGCTCTCTCTGTCAAATAGATAAATAAAATCTTTTTAAACAAATAAATAAATAAATAAAAATGAGGACAGGCATGGTCAGATGATTCTAAAGACCACATCCAATTCTAAAATGTCTAAGAGTCTATTTGCACAGCATCTTCACTTCTTACAGGGTCTACTGCTCATCTGAAGATAAAAGGCAAGGGATAATAGGCATTAAGGATTTTGCTGGGACAGGAAGCTAAGGAAGCCGACTTCATCTTTACCATGAGGAGGCAGTCTGGAAGTAAGGTCGGGTGGGACGGAAGACCGAAAAGATGAGCCAAAGTGTGGTTTTTGTCTTCACGTCAGACACCAAATGAAGCATAACCAAACCAGGAACGATCTCATTTTCTTAAGTTCTCCATACCTGCTGAATCCTGAGGGACTCCAGTTCCCTCTCTAGCCGTGTCCGGAGACGATGCTCCAACTGCTCGCGTTTTTCACATGCTGCCTGGAGCTGTACAAGGGCTTGCTGCATCTTCTCCACCTTATCCACATACACCTGCTTCTTTTTCAGCTGAAATTCCAGGGTGGGAGAGTTGCAAGATGGAACAAAAGAGAACAACGGGGTCAGTTATGCAGCCCCCAAATCCAGCCTTGTGTTTAGATCTCTTTCTGTCCAGCTCCAAAAAAAAAAAAAAAGAATGAATGGCAAGAAGGTCCTTCGTGATGAGTGGTATGCTGTCTTGTATTTAGCGTACAGAGAATGTGACAAGGAAGAGGAATTAGGAGCTCCCTTTTATTTTTGCTTCTTTCCCCACCTCTCTGTCTTCCCCAGACCTATTTCCATCAGTGGAGTCTGTCTTAGATGGCAAGCTTTTAAAATTATTAAAACAATAATCCTGATGGGAAGGTCCTCACCTCTGCTCTTCTTCACTCTAAACTGGAATACTCTGGGGGCAGCGATATCTTATTTTGGTCATTAGAGTAGAGAAATTCTAAAAAAAATAAAATGGGGGCTCTCCAGGGAGAAAACCTTAATTTGGTATGGAAGGAAACCGCCCCCCCCCACCACCATATAGGTGTTTCCTCTCCAAGCGACAGAGAATGGGTGCTGAAGGTACAAGGAAGCCAGAATTGTCTTTTTGAAGCCCGTGGTCCTTGTAATTACCCAATATGGGCATCGCTGCTCTCTTGGACAGTTTCTGCTTCTCAAAAGTGAAGCTACCATACAATGGTTTTAGAGTTTTTAATCTCCTCATTGACTAGCACTGTCCCACTAGATATTTATTTAAAAAACACAGGTTATTTGCAATTTCTGCCTCAGTCATGAGCCTGAGTGGGTAACAGTGGGCCATAATTTCTCAACTTTATTCTGGGACCTTTAAAGATATCTAAAGACTCGAACTAATGAGTCGAATCTAAGACAAAATGAGTCAAACACGATTCTTCCTCTTTCCAAGCCTATGAGCCATAACTAAAAGCAAAGGGGGAAGCAGGTTGGGACTAAGAAACTGAGTTCTTTGTATCCTTGTAATTCATAAGCTAAATCCTCGCTCCACTGGAATGGAGGAATGAGGAGGATCTCGGGGCTCTTTACAGAAGGCGTACACCGCCCCAACACTTAAGAAGACAGGGTTAAATGCAGCCTTCCCAGCTTGTTAGTCAACAAAGAGGTTCTGCTTTTCATCATATTTGTGGGGTGCCTCTTGCTAATAAAATCAACCCATGGACTCTTTCTCAAGCAGAAGTTCCTCCAAGCCAGTCACATCTGTCACTATCATCTTCATGGAAGCTGAGGTTAGGGATACTTTCACTATTAAGATCCAAATCAAAATATTATTGATAACCTTGTCAAAAGGAAATTGAAGAATTCAGCTCAACTCTAACTTTTCAACAAATTCCCAAGCCCTTGAGCTACCTAGGCAGAGAGTTGCAATGTTAGACGTTACCCAATGTTCCCGCCTTGCTCACCCCTATTTAGCTGGGACCAAGCCAGCAGGACCAACCCGCGACTCCCCCATTGCAGAAACCAGGTAACTTCTTAATGGTAATGAGCCCAAATCACTGCTGTCTAGAAGGTCCAGTCAGACAGCAAAAGCCTGTGCTGAACTGTCCTTGTCTTATATCTGTCTTCTCCCCAAATCAGAATTGCTAAACTTTATCTAGGTTGCAGAAAACCTATCTTATATTTTCCCACCAGACCTGTGGTATGCTTTGCCTAGGTGACTGAGAAAAGAAAACTTAAAATTTTTTTTGCCTATACTTTTTCATTCCAAGACCTAGTTCAATTTAGCCTTGTAAACCGGTTGAGGTGAGTTGGAAGTCTACATGTTTTTATCTACTCGACCTTTCCCTAGGAAATAAAATCAACCATAATCACCATTCTCTTTCTTTCAGTAAGCTTACACTTTTCTTTCCTGGGATGGGTGACTATTTGTAACAACACTGACTAGGGCAATGAAGACTGTTAGGCCATGGATGTCTCTGCCTTCCTATTTGCTAAGCTTTGAATAACTGGAGAGCAGGGAATATTCTCTATCTTCACCTTTTAGGTTCTATAATCCTCATGAGCTATTTAAAGGTGAATGCATTTATTTGTGAATCACTCTGAAAATCCTAAGGGAGCAGTGCAATGTTAATGCAGAGGATGTTAACTATAATTACTCAGGCTTACAGCAGTTATACTTAAAGGCAATTAAAGTGAGCATGCAGTTCTTGCCTTGATGGTAAAGTACTCTGGTGTAAGCACAGAGAACTGAAAAAGCAGCAGTCCAGGGCTAGGTGGATATCTCCATGTCCTCCCTTTCTTGAGAAAGAAAACCTTAACATCTTAGCAAAAGCATCTCCAGCAGCAGGAGTCACTGAGCCAACCCTCTGGAAGGGAAAAGCAGCAAAGGCCCAGGAACTTTTCTGAGTTGGCTGAAGATAGGCATGCAGGTCAGACAACATCCACAAAACAGGCCGAGAGAAGTCCAATTATGCTTTGTCACTGGGATGATTATACATAAGGTACCAGGACCACTGCTGCTGGCATAATTCTCCTCCTACGTCTTTTACAAGAAGAACGAGGATAGCCCACCCATAAATGCCAGGGTCACCTAGTAAATGCTTAATCCCTAGATAACTTATGACAGAAAAGGACAACTCGAGGATGTTACCAATGTGAGACCCTATAGATGAAATCAACAGGTCAGCTATATTCTAAGTTATGTACTCTGTTTTCTAGAGCTCATCTTCCTTCCTTCCTTCCTTCCTTCCTTCCTTCCTTCCTTCCTTCCTTCCTTCCTTCTCTCTCTCTCTCTTTCTTTCTTTCTTTCTCTCTCTCTCTTTCTTTCTTTCAGAGAGGGAGGAGAAGGGGCAGAGGGAGAAAGAGAATGTTAAGCAGGATCCATGCCCAGCGAGGAGCCCGACATAGGGCTCGATCTAATGACCCTGAGATCATGACCTGAGCCAAAATCAAGAGTCGGATGCTCAACTGACTGAGCCACCCAGATGCCCCTAGATCTCATCTATATTTAGAAAGGACCAAAGGTCTATATGGTTTATTAATTCCTCTACTATCATTATATGCTTCACTTTTACCTTCCTCATGATAAATCCCCTTTTCTTTTCTGACTCGCCTCTGTATACTTATCTCCTGTGCTAAGCTCCTCAAATGTTAGATCGGTAATGAGGACATTCTGGGTCCCCAGCTTCACCTTCCAATGTCATCAGAAATGTCAGTGGTTCCTTCTTAGGTAAAGAGAGAGGCCACATAGTAAAGTGGTTATGGTTATGAGCTTTGGCCTCAGACTGAGTTCAAATCCTGGTTCTCCCACTCACTAGTTTTGCAACCTTAGGTAAGACACAATCTCTCTGAGCTTCCATTTATTCATTCATCAACAACATGGAGATGATGATGTGATATATCTCTATAAAAATCAAATGAGATAACACATGAAGTGCTTAGTAGACCACCCAGGACAAAAAGTACTGTTCTTTTTTTTAAAGAAAAAGTTAATGCCAAATCACACATGCTCTAATCCTTTCAACTTGGAACATTCATGCCAGATAGCCTTGATATGGTTTTCATTATTTCAATCTCTCATTATCACATTAGTGTCTAATTAAGACAAACCAAACAGACAAATAACAACAAAGAGAGAAACAGATTGATAAATACAGAGAACAAACTGGCGGTTGCCAAAGGGAGAGGAGTGAGGGAATGGGCAAAATGGGTGAAGGGGATTAAGAGGTACAAACTTCCAGTTATAAAATAAGTAAGTCATGGGGATGAAAAGCACGGCATAAAGAATGTAGCCAATAATATTGTAATACACTTATCATGGTGAGCATTTTATCATGTACATAATTGTTGAATCACTGTGTTGTACACCTCCAACTAATATTATATGTCAACTATACTTAAAGATAAAAAAACTTAAAGACATTAAAAATACAGCCATTTTCCCCTAGGAAGACGTATAAAACTAAGCCTTGGGGCAGGTGGGTGGCTCAGTCAGTTAAGCATCTGACTGTTGATTTTAGCTGGGGTCATGATCTCATGGTCGTGAGATCGAGCCCCATGTTGGGCTCCACACTGGGTGCTGAGCCTGATTAAGATTCTCTCTCTCTCCCTTTGCCCCCCCCCACACACAAAAAAACTCATAAGCCTCAAACACTTCATATGACAGAGCTTCAGATATCTTTATAGGACAAGGCCATTCATTGGCGGTACAATTAAAAGCAAGCACTAAGTTGCTGCAAGGACACCATCTTTTCTCCAAATGACCTGATTTTGGGGGCACCTCCACTTTATGAGAAATAAATACTTTACTTATGGTCAACGGTACTGTTGAAAGAGCCATAGGCAGAGCTCATTCCCCACCACATGCACGCACGCACACCATCAGATATTTCTACTTGACATCAAATGAAAGGTAAAGGAACAAAGTGGTAACCAGGAGACTTGGATTCTAGCCCTAGCTGTGCTACTGATGGTAATTTGCTTCCCTGTTTTCGGCCTCAGAGTCCCCATTTGTTAAAAATGAGGAGGGTTGGGGTGCCTGGGTGGCTCAGTCGTTAAGCGTCTGCCTTCGGCTCAGGTCATGATCCCAGGGTCCTGGGATTGAGCCCCGCATCAGGCTCTCTGCTCAGCAGGAGGCCTGCTTCTCCCTCTCCCACTCCCTCTGCTTGTGTTCCCTCTCTCGCTGTCTGTCAAAAAAAAAAAAAAAATGAGGAGGGTTTTAGGAGTCAGCCAAGCAAACTGGTCAGCAGCAGGCCAAATCCATTCATCCCCATCCACGTATATACTGGTTATAGATGCCTTCTGGCTAGATTGGCAGAGCTGAGCAGGCCTATGGTCTACAAAGCTGAAACTATTTACTATCTGGTCCTTTGTAGATAAAATGCCAGACCCTGGAGTGATTTTCAAACTGTTCTGTGGAGTGCTTCAGAGGCCACTATGGTGGGTACGTTGTATCAGATGGCTTCTCTTTTATGTGTTTTATATATTAGGGTTCTGCGTAAAATTTAATTTCCAAAAAAGATTACTACATTTATACTATATTACCTCACTCCATCATCTTTCA